AGAAATGTATAACTGAACAGTGGGAAACATAACTCATAGCAGTTGGAAGAATAATTGTACGGGAAACGTTGAATAAAAGCTCGTGAAAAAATTCGAATAGTAACCGATTAGCAATAGTATAAAAAACTCGCTCAACCACTTCTTTATTGTGCCAGGTCTTGATGTCAATTTTTTGATTTGATCAAAGAGTAGAGTTTTGCAAACTAGAAAAAAAGGACACATTATAATGTATTTAGCGATTTTATTTTGGGGAATTTGCAAAATATTTGTGCCTGTGTCTAGTTTCAACTATTTAATGCTATATTTAATATATAACTATATAAAAAAAATTTTATGTATTATTTATAAATAATAACGTGTTAAATATAACTGTCCGATCGATATAGTGAAACTTGATTAAATTTTAGAAACATCAAGATACTAGGAGAGGGATAGCAAGTGCAAAGCAAAAGTAATCACGATGCTGGTTACACTTTTGCAAATTAGATAATTTAAACACAGGTAGAAAGCTGTTAGCCAAGCAAATTTCGTCGCATTAAAGCAGAATTAATTTTAATAATCCCTTTTAAAATTTCAAAGCAAGAGACTTACCTTGAAAAGGGTAATTGCGATGATCTTTACTCACGTTACTGGAACGCGCACAAACATCTTATTTGCTATGCCCGATAACAATAATTTCACATATCTCTATGTTGATATTGACGATTGGAAATATAAATTTCACTCTTGCTTCATTCAGAATCGATTTATTAATCTAATTACGTTTGATCCTCTCTTGCTTTTATTAAAGGCAAATTATATAACTGAAATTCAATGTTAAGCTTTTGTATACCAACATCCCTCACACCCAAGGATGAGGAATATTTTCATTTTGTCAAATCGATTGCAAAACGATCCAAAAGAAACCTTCAAAATCCCCGTGCAGTGGGCGCCAAACTTCAAGTAGATTTAAACAGTCCGTCCGGCTGTCTGTGGTAAACACTCTTCCAGCCGCAAATATGAAACTATCGGCTTCAAGGTCGGTAGAAAAATTGGAAATTCTTGCTCGCAGGTCGGCATTGAAGATAGGACAAATCGGTTAACCGTAGTACAATACGATCTGAGACCGTTTACGTTTTCAAAAATGAAAAAAATGTTCATCTTTTCCTCGTTACTTATAAACTAGAACAGATATAACCATAAAAGCCTGCACATATATTTTATAGTTGGTCCTGCAAAAACTTGTAAGTAATTTTTTCAATTTTTTAGATGTTTTCTGCTTATTACTTATAAGGTAAACAAGAGGTAAACAAGACTCCCCACATGATAACATGAACAATGTGAAGAATTCGCTTTTTCTTAGCGGTATAATTAAATGAGGATCACATAGAAAGACTCGGAGAGTAGAATGCAGCGAGCTAAGTATGTTAATTCTAAACTAAATATCGCGGACGTTATAACGGTATGCGAAGGATAGAGGAAACGGGCATAAAAAGACACGATTTTTTACTTGTTTAAATCAAAATAATAATAGATATAAAAAAAATATAAAAAAACCAAAAAAATTGCAATTTTTTAAAAGTGCATATCTGAACCCATTATGCTGTTGATATGTATGAATTAGTTTTCTTTTGATAAATTTTTTGATGAATGAAAAGTTAATAATAAGATAAATGCGTGCATTTATAATAATTAATTACCCAGCAATCGTTTATTTTGCATAAAATAATTAATTATTTCGATGGGAAAGACAAATGTGACAATAAATAAAAATATGTAAAGGAAATAAATTAAATTAAAAATGAAGACAAAAATATGACTAAGTCGCTTTACAATAACTGATTGCCTGCAATGAAAAAACGCAATTTTTCAAGTATCTATTTTATTTTTGTTTAATACACTTTAACTCTGGCCATATCTAGGTGAAAGTATACAATAATGTTCGTTATTATATTTGATTTAAATAATTTAATATAATTAAAAACTATTAATACTTAAAACTACGAAAAGACTAGAGATTTGCATAAAATGTATTTAAAATTTTTGCTTTTCAAAAGCAAAAATCGGTAAAAAAGTGTAACAATCTATTCATTTACTAATATTTAAAAATAGACCAATTCGGTTGAAAAAACTTTAAAATGAATTATTTCACTGCGGAGCTCTGCATAAAAATGCGAAACATGCCTTTAATTTTTTCTTTTTAATATAACCAATCTCCCAGGGGGGATGTGCCCAATTCGTGTAACACGGTGATGTTTACGACGGGGAGCGAAGACAGAGAGGTGGCGGCCGCAATCGTCACGATTCTCATCTACTTGTGTACTCAAGCAGATTGGACCTGTTGCTAGCAGGGGTTAAGATCATTTTTGTATTGAATACTAGAAAAACCTTGATAAACATATATGAAAAATTTTCCCCTCGATATTCACTATAGATTGCAAATTCTTGAAGCTTTTAAAAATTTTTCATTCAAGTCTCAGCAGTGTCAGACATGTTTTTAAAATTTATCCGGGCTGCATAGATATTCATCTATGAATGCAAAAATAAATGTGTAGAGAGTTTTCTACATTAACTTGGGGTTACTCTGAAAAAGCCCACAGAAAGTGCGGCAGACAAACATATATAAACAGTGCAATAATGTAACCTTTCGAAACTTTCTACAGATGATTCCAATGGAATAGAAGACATAAGCAAGTAATCGAATATATAATGAAATGAAAATATTATACATATATAGAGAGTGTACAAATAATGAAAAGTACATTTGCTATAAAAGACAAATATTTCTCTTCTGTATCAAGTTTATACAGTTACCTAAAAACAAATTGTTGTGAACTATTCAAGCAAATATATATATATATATATATATATATTTATATAAATTTAAATCATATATATATATATATATTTTAAATTTAAATCATAATTTTAATACGCCAAAGAGCTTTGTAAAGCATTTTGCACAGCAAAAAGCTTTTACTATAACTGGCTACTACAAATACAGATGAAACAATAAATGCTATAAACGTTCACAGAGTTTCTATAATGATCTGTAAAAAAAAAAAAAAAAAAGTGAGAATTCACAGCTAAATACACAACTCTAGCAATACTACGATCATACAATAAACAAATGTCATCTTTATGGGTTCTTCATCAAAATTTCCAAAAAAAAAAAAAAAAAATGATTTTGGTTTTTCAGTGCAGTTTGTATCAAGATATTTTTCCAAGTCACACAAAGAAAAATAAAACGTTTCAAAAACGACCCTTACCTTCCACCTTTTTCAAGATTTTCATCTAATGCTATCTGCTTTTAAAGTATTTCGTATAGAGATACGAAATTTTCAAAAGATTAAACTCAGCAATATTGTAAGTTACTCTTTTTTACTAAATTCATTATTCATATTGAGTATTTTCATAAACAAAAATATATTTATTATTTACCAAAAATGGAACGGATCAGGCTTAAACTCCAAAAGCCTCTTTGTACAGAGTGTTAAACTCCATTACAAAAAAAGTCAATATTTAAATTCGAATCGTAAAGGATTAAATCAAGTTCCTGATAAAAAAATATTTGCGAACTTTGTTCACTTTTAATCACAGATCACTTCACTTTCAATAAGAGCAACTGAATGATAATGTTCAGTCGAAACGGATTAACCGCACTCTATAGTCCTGTAACAATTTTTTTTTTTTTATTTTAGAGGACATTCTTTACACAATAAGTAAGCGCGGTATTAGTTAGCAAGAATTATGAGAGAGCACAAGAAAGAGGAACGTGATCCGTGTGGTAACGCTATTGTATTATTCACTCGATTTTTTCTCTCGCATTTTTTCCATCTATAAATTTTCAATTTAATAATCATTAAATCAATGTTATATATATGTCGTAACCAATTATGAGGAGTCCTTACTATCAATCGCTTTTCCAACAAATGTCCTTCCTCAAGAACCTATATACTAGTTGTACTTTTCAAAAAAATTTCAACCTTACACAGACCTCATTGATCTCATGATCCTTAAAATTATTCTGCAAACATAAATGGGGCGAACATTAATGCGATAGATTCGAAATAACTAGAACGTAGAATCCCAAAAAGTAGAATTCTCGACTCAGAGCAACAATGTCATTTTTTATATGTCCGCAAAGGACTGAAACAAAGTAAGCATTTCTTTGCCTCGGAAGACACAGCACAAAATTCACCGTGGAGTACTGATTGTTCTGACCATCCACAGAAAGGAAAATGCAACAACAAAACAATAGGTGAGTTTCGCATTAATTGCTTCGCTGTTGTTATCAGAACGAGGCTACGCAATTAAGTAAGAAAAACTGACTATCAGAATGTTTTCAAGTACCACCCACGAGGACGATCGAGACGATCTTACTAAAAATTTAAAAGTAAAGCTCATCCGAAAAAAATAGCTAAAGTCTTTAACGCCTTAAATTTGGGAAACCTAATTCAAATTTTCTAAAACATTTGTGTGGGGCAAAAAAGTACCGGTTTTTTTTTTTTTTTTTTTTTTTGAGGAGAAAAATTTTAATTAACCCTACATAAGATCAAATTTTATATATTCACACATACTAATCTGATGTGGCGGCCAAGATTATTTAGGAACAAAGTCGTATAAAGTATTTTTATAAAATAATTACTAAGTTCTTCGATTTGAAAGGGGAGGGACAACTTTTTTCTACACCATCCATTAAAAAATCAAAGCAAAGTAAAACATCATGACTGTCACAAGGCAATCTAGAGTGTAGAAATAGTTATACGGCATTCATACCCGTCACCATAATTTACAAATTAACAAATTACGATTTACTAAATACAAGTTAAAATTCTTTCTAATAGTACAAGTAAAAGTTAGTCCAGCACCAATACAAAGATGTTGAAATTTCTTTATAAACTTACGAGCGTCTAACTGATCGTGTTGATGCTGTGACTTCGGTTGCTGGGCGAGTAACGTATAAATCGGATCACCATTGCTTTTTTGACGTTTTCGTTTCAAGTACGCAGGATCTAAAAATGTCAAATTCTTTGATTGCATTTTGGTTCAACATTCTTATGTGTTTTACATTACAAAACAATATAAAATAATAATATGTTTGCTTATAATACAATGAATGTTTCATTAACAATGTTTGGATTATAGATTATTATATTCTGTAAAGTATAAACTTTAATTGCCAAAAACGTTACATAATTTCATTCAATGTGCATTTCATGCACATTATCGAGTTTTACGAGTTTATAAATATATTAAAAATATAAACTGTTTTTCGTTATATCAACTAAATGAAATTCAGCCGTCGTAGAATTTTTCCTTTGGCTTAACTTTTCATTGTGATACTTTTAAAAAAAGACAAAATATTTTATCAAAATATGCCAAAAAGCATACATTGACAAATTAACGCGTCGTATCCATTCTAAAAAAAACAGAGTTAATATTGATCTGGAAGTAATCCGACTCCCTATTAAGATCGATATTGTCTTTGGTTAGAATGAGTCAGCGGTATAATTAATTTATACGATTTGCAGCCACTAAACGTTCAGCCAATTCTTCGGGTGTTAAAATTTCGCCACCATCTACAGCAGCGTAATAAGCAGAAGTCTCATCGAATTCACTAACCGTCGCCTGCGGTGGCACACTCGTATAAAGGGCAAAGTGTTCAGCCTCGGTTAAATCAACGTCAGGATCGATTTGAACATTATATTCTCCTTGGCAGAGATTGCGCAAACTTTGTCGATCTGCTATTGCTACCAATTCCATATTGCCCTCGCATAACGGTATATCAGCCAATTGCAACGCAGATACAGTTTTACGGTCGAGTGTATTGCTCAGCGTTAGTGTACTAGCCTTTGAATAATCTTCTTGTTGAGGTAAACTGTTCGTACTATCACCTTTAAGAGGTATATGTACGACATCCGCATTGAGATGAGTCGGCCTTTTGCCAGATACACTGCTTACACTACGACCCACTGGTTTACCGACCTTATTGGTTTTTCCAAGTGGACTGGTAGGTAATGAGGACGGCTGCAGAGATTTAGCGGACCGTATAGACGACCGATTCGGATCATTCAAATGAAAGTTACCAAAACTCGATTCTCTGCTGTCTGCAGGAGTGGTCGTTTTGGAGCCAGTTTTCGAAATTACTTGATCTGAAGCAGAACTAAGGTCAGATTTGCTTTTCCGCCTTGAAAATAATTTTGAAAAGAAGCCAGGCTTTTTTTGTTTCGGCAAAGTATTGCAATTATTCGCATCAGGCTTTGGTGGCAAACGTTTAGTGGGTGGCGATTGATCAGGTGTTTTCATTATAATAATGGGTGGCGGGGCTTGACGCTGGGGACGATTTGATGTATCACCAATATTGGCTTCTATGGAACGATTTTCCGCATTGCTATCTTGTTTACGCAGACGTTTAGGCGGCAAAGGTGGTACCTTTTCCTCTTCGGCTGCTGTTACGTGCATGAAAGGCGATGTAAATTTTGTTGGTGCTGGCGGTCTGGGAGGGCCTTGCAATGGTTGTGCATTCTGTATTCGAATACTGTCTGTTGCTGGCGAATTTCTAACTTCGACTGGGTCGTAATGCTGAGCTACCTCTGTCATAGTTTCTGGTATTAAATCATCCATGGGTATTGTAATAGGATTCTTAAAAGCAATCTGTAAGCTAGTGTAGGTGGCGGCGTCGTCGAAATTTTCATCGACTTCCATAGCAGTTTGGCTGCCATCCACCAAATTTTTACTTGCTTCTGTGGCTATGCAGGTATCCATATCATTTAATTCATTCAAAAGGGTGTTATTATAAGTATCGCGGCGCGTTACACGATCCGAATAAATCTCATCAAGTTCAGCTACTTGTTCTAAAATGTCATCCAATGTCTTATCTTCTTCATTATTGTCGGTCGGTAATGGGCCATTTGTTTCTTTTTGATTGTTTTCATTGGATTTCATCCATTCGTTTATTTTATCAGTAATTGTGAATGAAGGTATCTCACCAGTTGCGGAGGTATTCACGTCAAAAGCAGCTTGCGCTTCATCTTGTGTTATGTTAGTTGCAAATTCTCGTGACGGATTTATAGAAGTTTCTGTCTTTATTTGTTGTTGTTCAAGTTCACGTATTTTTTCTTCAATTATTGAATCAATTTCTAAAGAATTACGATCTTCAGTCACCGCGTGCTTTGGGTCATTTGTCAGTGTCAGTGTAGTCTCGATATCAAAAAGATTGTTTTCAAAATTTTTTTCTTCTTCTCCTGTTGGTGTATTAAGATCGATTATTTCACTACTCGTAACAGCAGTTTGCTGTATCTCACGATCAACATTGAGAATTTGTTGAAAAATATCTAAGTCGGGTTTCCTTTTCAAGTTCCGACGAAGATCCCAAAAACGATGCCTACCTGAATCTAATGGTATATATTGAAAGGGAAGCGCCTCACTAGTAACTCCATCTGACGGTCGCTTCAATTGTATAAAAACCTGATTATAGAAAATATGTAAAAAATTATTGGCTGTATTTGGGGCAAGTAGAAAGAAAATCATCGTATTGTACCTTAGCCGGTTCGGTTATATCCAATTTGTGATACCGTGGTGTCTTGAATGTGATGGCAGTTTGTTTGTGAACATCGGTATGTTGAAAATCTCCGTATCCCTCCCAAATGACTTGCTCATCCTTCTCTTCGAAAAACCGTATTGATATATCCTCTTTGGCCACCTTCTCACATAGCAATATAATCTGATTATTACCGAGCACACTGGCTGAACAGCTGCATAGACGACATATCACGAGATCGGACATGGCTTTCTTATCATAAATGGGTTCTGACACTACTGGCGGGAGAGGTTGCGTAAAACGACCCTTCTGCTCTCCTTCCATAAATACTTGAAAACACAATCTTACCGAATTCAAATCTATACCGGATGGCTGAAAACGATGCTGAAATCCAGCTAACGAAGAATAAATTGAACGTAAAGGAGAATAGTTTTAAATATCGTCACTCAACATGCATACTTTTGAATGGATCCACACGTATTTCTTCACGTGCCTTTAACGCCGCTTCAATATCTTTCTTCTTGACGCACTGGATGCCTAAATTACTGAATACCGTTCGCATAGTTTCTGAATTTATTTCTATTGTGCAAACACCTTTTTTGCAGCCTTCCTTACCAACCAAATTATGAGGATGAGGTCTGCGAACAGATTTAGATGTGAATATTAATGCAATTTAGTTTGATATTGATGCAAGGTGCCGAACTTACCGATAAGGTTCATCTTTGGTAACACAAGACACCACAACCACAGCTCGTCCCTTGTAACCGACAATTTCAATTGTTGGATATGTCTTATTTTCGGACGTCGAATTGACACCAGGAATTGAGCCAGCGGAGCGTCCTTCACATTCATAACGGAATCTTAAAGCTTTACTTGCTGGCTGCTCAACAATTTTCACGTATGGCTTAGGCTTGCGTACATTTCTACTGGTATTTGAATTTGGCAATGACGGCTTTGGCTGTTGTTGTTGTTGCTGCTGCTGTGTACTATCATAACCAACATTGTGTTGCTGCGTGTGATCCATTACTGTATCTCTTTTCTTTTCTTTTATAGCTCAGCTACTTAATATAAAATTTTTTAAGGATTTTTCTCATCTACGTTAAAATAACTGAAATTGAGAATAAAATGCAGCGAATCAGTTAAAGAAATTTTGAAAATTTTATAACAAAAAAATTGATACAACAATCGAAAACTAAATTATTGGGATTATATTGATGACACAATTTTCTTCTTTTCGTTTTCTTTTGTTGTACAAGCCTACGAAAGTCTCGAGACATAATAATGAATAATTCAGTTTATAAATAGGTTAGACTACGTCGTCCACAAAAACAACAATCAACTACGCACAATCCTCTCTGCAAACATTTCTTTGCTTATTTATTTTTTTTTTTTTGACCGTGTGGATTTAAAAAAAAAAAAATGAAATGAACAAAAGCCGAAAATTCGTTCAAATTGTGAAATTCCGTGTGTTGATCACTGCGGTAAGTATTGAAACATACTGAACTGAAAATATATATGACATACGGCTAATTCAGTCAAGTGTATATATGGGAATCCTTCTCTCTTCGACGAAGCTCTCAGACATCGATTAACATAAATCAAATGTCGATCTGTTGGCTATTTTATCAAACTATCATTTTATTCATAATATCTAAGAATATTTGGTAGTCGATAGAGGAGTCATTTAATAATTTGTATTTTACTAAAGGCACCTACAACCCTATATTACAGTTAAGTAAGTAATGAAAATATTAATTCTCATATATAATATCGCCCCCAATATCCAAACGATCTGTAAACAAGAAAACGACTGCCGTCATGTTGGACTGAATTCGTCCGTATCTATTATTCTATAACTTGAAAACATTCTTATGCTTGATTTATGTGCGAAATATGGGTTTATTGTAAATTTAACAAATACATTTTTGTATTCATAAGGCATGTTTGCTTGTTGCCCATAAACAAGAAAAAAATCTAAATAAATAAATAAATGGAAATTCTTTAATATTCAATAACAATAATTTACAATCTGCAGATGATATCGTTCCAAATTTTAATATAAATATTTAACGTAGCTCAGCCGGTCAACTAGTAGGTCCACCACTAATATAATACTTTCTATTTACGAATTTTGTCGCTGCGAAAGATTCGCTTATTATATTTTGTCTTCCCTATCCTACATATTGCGGTTGGGTGGATGTATGCCACACCTAGGAGAGCTTGAGATAGACCTCTATCTTTGATTAAATCGATCGGTTCAGAGTCAGCTTTTGTATTGACCCAGGCTCGTCTGCTCCATATGTCCGCCTGTACGTCTTGTTTTTCTATGTTCAACCTACAGTTTACTACACTGACGAAGACTATTGAATGTGGTGCGGATCGGACCACTTTTTCGACCACTTCTCATATAACGCTTTATTTGGAAAAGTTCTAAGATGAATGCTTGTGCAGTCCTGTAGGCTATTTAGTAGTGGTGATGCCTTAATAGTGCTGCCTTAATAGTGCTTTTACTTGTCCATTATGACTAATTGACTGACTGATGGATCAGGTTGAAAAAAAAATATCTTGTGAAGAAGAAAGAATGAAGAATATGTATAATTTGAAAACATTGGCAGCTTCTAACAGGTTTGGTCTCGCATCTATTACTTAACTATTTTTCAAAAGAAAAAAAAAAATTGAGGTTCATTAAATATAAAAGTATCAGCCCAATTTGACTTATCCTGCACAAACCTAAAAAATAACCTTAATAAATAATAGTAAAATAGACCATCGAGGGACCTTTCCGTTCTCGTCATACTTTGGCTTTTAGACAATGCCGACCCATAAAATTTAGATGAGATTATATTATAGACGAGGGTGGGCAGCCGGGATAGTGGAACAAGCATACATATTGTATATGAATATTCCTGAATGTCGCGAATGGTACGGTAGAAAGAGTACACATTTGATTTCGTAGCTTCCTAAGTATAAAAAGGAAAATCAACCAAAGAATTGTCAGTTGGTTGTTGTTCAAAAATTGCGCAAAAACAAACGCGTGAATTGTAGCGATTAAAAGAGAAATGGAAAACTTTACCTCCCATAATTCACAGCGGCGACACTATTTTCGCCGGCAGCTCCGAAAAATTATTTATAAATAACAGAAATGAAGCGACCAAACCGATTGCTTGGCATGGACCACAACTGGCCTCCACTATAAACAAAACAACTTAATTGATGCGTTTGTAAAGTTATAATTACTTATACATACATGTATGTTTAAATAGGTGTTTAAATAGTTGCTTCAGAACAATTTATATAATACATTTGTCTTTTGGCTCACATCTCTCCAACTAGGACATTTTTGAAATTTTTCAGTTCATCTTTTATCGTCCAATAAAGTTTTTTCGCCTTATTAGAAGGCCATGCCATGTCTCTAATATCAAGAGCATATTAAGGAACTATTAATTTTTTGGTACTGAATTCATCCAACTTCGGTGTTATGAAAGGGTGAAATTTTCTAATGCTTTCAAGTTCTATGGGCACCTCATTGTTGCAAAAGTGGATTGTTCGTTTTCGATATCCGCTACAATATCTTGCATCTACCCATAGGAATTGTTAAGGAAAGTAATTGCAGTGCATCAGCTTGCTACTCTACACTTTTGCGAGTTCTTGATTGATAAACAAATACATGAGTAAACCGAAGAATGTTTGACAAGCCTACGTTGATCATGAATATCTTTTGTTTAGCAATGAGCGCCAAGAAAAAGCTTTCCCTTCGTTGCTCACGTCATGCACAAGTTTAAAAAGAAGACAACATTTGAAGACAATTGAAGTCTCTTATCATATATCGTGGCATTCGGTCAGATATTTGGAAAAGGGCAATAAGTCAGCCTTTGATGTTATTAGATAGAAATTTTGAGCGGGAAATAGCTCGAGTCCTAACTAACTCAACAATATGAACAAATGTAGCAAATAAAAAACGTTCATAAACCCGCGCACACGAATTTTATTGTGTTTTAACAATGAAATTAATGGCATGGTCGACAAAGTCTTAATAAGAACTGGGAGGAACCCTTTAAGTTGCTTGCATTTCTTCCTGGGAGTGAATTATTTCAATATTGGAATATCCATAGACACATCTCTGAGGTACCATAACCTCGCTTTTCTACTGCAGAAAGTCTAAGGGAATGGTTTAATTAATAATGTTGCAAAGAGAGGAAATAGCTTAAAAACATATTTGCCTACAATTGAACTCTTCTTCAGATTCGTGCTAAATACATAAGAGGCGCAGTTAAATATTTACTACAAATTACTGACTGGTATTTTTGCTCATCTCGGATGTTTATAAGCGAATAAACGACGTCTGCTTTCTTGTCTTGATGGCATGAAGTAATACCAACAAGTCGCTTCGTTCTGTCAACGCAAGTGCTGAATAGATTGTAAATTAGATAAAGATAGAAGCAGTTGTCCCTCTAAGCCTTACAAAATCTTGTTGTCCAGCGATTCATTCTCTAAATAAGGACAGTTTTAAAGGTAAGGTTGCTCATACACATTCGTCAATGTTTTCAAAAGAATCTTTCCATGTGCTAATATGTAAAAAGTCTTCGTTTCTAATTGGCGGAGGAGAACAGACATAGAGTAGATGGGCGATTAGTTGATTGAAAGCAAACCTTTCGGGTCTTGGCAGCTTCTACAGTCGTTCATTATGAATAAGTTTCCTACGGTACGAATCCAGATAGGTTTGAACATTCCTATGATGACGATCACCATTGTTCTCACGTTTATCTCCCATTAAAAGGAGGTGCAACGATTTTGTTCTTTATTTGCTCTTTACTCCTCTTCCCCTGCAGTTTCTCGCGCCAACTTATTTTATAAAATATTTTAATGGCTTAATTTCTCTTACCAACAACATTGTATGAGTTAAGTAGTTTGCCTTAACCCTCGAAGAGAAGAGCACCCATTTGCGTTTCCGAAAATACTATAATGTCCCAATAAACTTGTTAAATTTTAAAATGCCTATTTCTATTTAATCAATTAAGTTCAATCAATCAAAGTCGCATTAACCTATCCATGCATTACATTCGTTTCGTTTAAACAATTGAAACTGACGTCATTAATTGGATTTAATTTAAATTTATTATTTTATTTGCTTTGGATTGGAAATAAGCCAAAAATATTTATAAAACTATTATCAAGTGATAGTGTGCGATCTATTGTGTATTCTGCACACATATACAATCACTTTCATTAGAATTTTGTTCCTTAACTAACTTTGAAAGGAAACAAAAAAAAAAAAAAAAAAACAAGATGAACATTGTCGGATATAACTTTTTCACACGATTATTATTATTATAATAATAATAATAAAAAAAAAAAAAAAGAAAATATTAATCACCTGCGATAAGCACTTCAGCTCAAAAGACAGTAGCACAAGCACCAATAACTATTATCACTGAATAATGAAAAAAAAAATTCCACAAACTTGAGTCTTTTTCACTTTTACACTGCATTCGTATATTAATCTTTATAGCGAATGTACTTTTAATATTTCTCAATAATACATAATAAATATATGTAGTGTGGATCGTTATTTTTTTTTTTTTTTTTTTTTGTAGTTAAAAGTGTTCAAAAAATATATATTGACTGTGTAAGCTCATAGGCGACATCCGTTATTGAATTCTTTAGCCACGAAACTAATAAAAAGCTTTGAAAAATTTCCTTCTCAATAGCTTTTTTATGCAAAGCATATGAGTGCATGAAAAGTTTTCAAATGAAAATTTTCGATTTCGAACCAGCGTCATAAACACTGATTGATGATGGCATCTTAAGCTTTTTTCGCTCTATCCGTTTTCACCGTCCGTTTCAAAATATTTCGAAAAATTAATTTACTCAATAGAAGATGAGAAGTTGTTTCTTTATCTAGTGAATCCTTATGGGCTACGTTCTTGACTAAAACAAGATTGTGAAACGGTTTAACTTTGCATATAGTTCGTCTTTCGGGTCGCTGTTCAACTCTCTTTACTTAGAAGCTAAACTTACGCTTCTTTCTTAACTTTTTACGCAAAGTGACACAGAATCGGTACCAGTGCAATATAAATTCCATTCCATTCCATACAGAGTGGATAGCTA